CTGAAGAGCTCAGGAACAGCTCCCAGGACCAGAGTTCAAGCCCCAAGACTGACCAAAAAAAAAAAAAAACAAAAAAACAACAACAAAAAAAAGACATACTGCGGAGACCTAACAAACAGAGTGCATGAACCATTGGGCTCAATTTTGATAAAAGCTGCATTAAAAGATGCTGTTAGGACAAACTGAGGATATCTGAATACAGTATGGCCTACTGCTGTGTTGGGGAAGCAGCCCTCCCACCTTATGCCAGGAAGTTAACACCAGGAAGCTGTCAATTAGCCCCTCCTACCCTAGGTCTAGGAAGCTGTCAATCAGCCTCCCTGGAATATCTACAAGGGTCCTTGGAACTTGACTAGCTGGCCTTGTCAAAAATAAAAACAGGAGTTAAAGAAGGAGTAACTTTGTTCAAAAGGAAATGTACTCATTACCTGGTTTATGTAACTATAACCTCGCTGTACATCATCTTTATAATAACAATTTAAAAAAAGAACTTCAATCCAAAACCAAAACAAAACAGGAAGAACCCCACAACAAAAAAAAACAAAAACAAAAACAAAACAAATCCCTACAAATCTCTAGTAACCAAAACAGTGAGTACTGGGGTAAATACAGACACATAGACCAAAGGAACAGAAAAGAGAATCCAGAAACAAACCTGCTTACTTCCAAAGAAATAGCCCAACAATGGTTGGGCTGCTAACTTAGGATATACAGAAATCAACTCAAAATGGAGCTAACACTTGCCTCTAAGACCTGAAACTTAATGAAAGAAAACCTACTGATAGAAAAGACAGAGGACTGCTTTGCTTTAGGACATAATTCTAGGCAAAGATTTTAGATATGACATGAAAAGCTGACAAATGTGATTGCACGCAACTTAAAAACTTCTGTACAGCAAAGGAAACAGAGCAAAGAGAACCATAATTTCTACTCTGAAACAGGTTACTATCCAGAATACCTAATGCATTCAAATAACTGAAAATTCAGTGTATACCTAAATAGATATTTGTCAAAAAAAACATAAACAAGGCTAACAAGTACTTGAGAAAATGTCTGAAATCACTAACCACCAGGAAAATGCAAATGAAAATCTCAAACATATCATTTCATTCCAATTCAAAGAACTAATATCAAAGAGACAAAATAATAAAGGCTGGCAGGGCTGTAAGAGAGGGAATCGTTCTCCACTCATGGTGGGAGAGTACGCTAGTACAGTCATGATAGAAAGAAGATGGCGACTCGCAAAAGATAGAGTAAGGCCTGCCACATGATCCAGTGATCCCACTTCTGGATAAACATCTAAAGGATATGAAATCAGTATGTCAGAAATACATCCACACTCCACATGATTATTGCAATACTATTTCCAATAACTAAGATATGAAATCAACTTTGATAGCCAATGATGGATAAATGAATACAGAAAATGTGATATGGAACACAGTGAAATCTTATTTAGCCATTAACAAAAACGAAAAAGAGAAAAATACTGCTATTTGCTGTAACATGGGTAAATTATGGTAAGTAAAAATAAGTTAGACACTTGATTAATTTCAGCAGGTTACCCAAAATTCTAGCTCCAGCCCAACTATAAGTCAGTAATGATGTGTGGATCTGTGTTTTTAATATGCCACTTAGTTTTAAACTTATTTTAATCTCTTCTATAACCTAGGTTTTCAAAATTATTGAATAGCTTTCTGCAGACACTTTCATTTCTCATATGTTTGAATAACTTTCTATGCACACTTTTATTTCTCACCTGTAGTCCATCAAAGGTTTTACTAGGCAGAGTGGAGGGAAAAAAACACACGAAGATTTTTTGGTTTCACAGAGCTCCTGAATCAGAAATTAGTAGAGCTTGTGTTTGAGATCATTATTCCCAGGACCCTAACATAGCCTATGCCATAACATTATTTAAAAATTAACAAACATGAGCTGGGCACTGGTGGCTCATGCCTATAATCCTAGCTCCTCAGCAGGCTGAGTTCAAAGTTAGCCAGGCAGTAGAATCTTATCTTCAATAAACTACTCAGAAAAAGCCAGAACTAGCTCTGTGGCTCAAGTGGTAGAGAGCTAGCATTGAGCACAATGAGGTTCAGCAACAGTGCCCAGGCCCTGAGTTCAAGCTCCAAGACTTGTACAAAAAAATTAACAAACATCTTAGCCAGGCATGGTGACTTGAGCTTGTAATCCTAGCTACTTGGAGGCAGATATCACGAAATCATAGCTTGAGGCTAGCCCAGGCATAAACGTTCTTGAGACTCCCTCTTGATGATTGGCTCAGCAAGGTGACACACTCCTGCTATCCCAGCTTTTGGGGAAGCACAATGGCTGGTCGCATTTGTCATCACCAGCGATGCAAGGGTGGAGCACAAATATGCAGATCTCAGGTTGGGCTAGCATGGGCCTAAAATGAGGCACGGGCTGGAGGTGTGACCCCAGTGGTAGAATGCCTGCCTAGCAAGCATGAAGCCCTACATTCAACCCCAAATACCACAAACAAACAAGAGCATCTTTAAAAGTCACCAACAGGACAGTTGCAAGCATAGACATTCTCTACAGATGAGGCAGTAGATGGCCCTGCTTCATGCTGTAAGCCACGGTCTGTATTTCGACATTCGGAGGCTTGTGTTAGTCCCAGCTCTGGCCAGCCGAATGAGCCAGACAGTGATTGAGGCAAAGGAGAGGATACACTTGCTGAGATTTCCCAAGTGGAGCAGGTGTGATGTCAGTGGAGATTAATAAGAGAGCAAAGGCAAAGCCTTTGGATTGCAGTGATCATGTTTCATCTATTGACAATTAAAAAGCTTTGAGAAATAACATGGAAAATAAAAGTTTTGAAAAAGTTCTTGTGGCTAGCAACATAGCACTTCCCACTACTCGAAACTTAGAAAAGAAATGAAGTTCAAATGTGATTTCCCCGTCACTGACACAATTCTGCTCCCAATTCTTCACCTTAGAGCAATAATGTGAATTTTATCATGCTTTAAAAAAATTGCTTGGGCTGGGAATGAGGCTTAGTGGTAGAGTGCTTGCCTAGCATGCATGAAACCCTGGGTTTGATTCCTCAGTACCCCATAAAGAGAAAAAGCTGGAAGTGGTGCCGTGGCTCAAGTGATAGAGTGCCAGAGAGAAAAAGAAGCTCAGGCATGGAGAGTGACCAGGCCCTAAGTTCAAGCCCCAGGACTGGCAAAAAATAAAAATAAAAATTGCTGTCTCCTCCCTGCTTTCTTCCTGCTAAAAGCATGTCAGATTACCAATATTTAAATACTCCATTTCATGAAAAGAAAACATGTCTACAATTTTAAAGAAGGTACTTTGGATTACTGCAAATGATAGTTTCAGAAGAAGGCTTATTTGCACTCTTTAAGCTTGAAATTGAAACAAGGTTGATGTGTTCCCAAATCAAAATGGAGCTCGCCCAACCCAGACTGCAGGATTCCTCAGATGAAGTTCGGTTTTGGCATCCCTGGTCATTTCAGACAGCGGTAAGTAGAAAGGCAGACATGATGATCTTAACAGCAAAATCCCACTAACTTACTGAAAGAAGTTTGGCCCAAATATGGTGGCGAGGTTGTGAATGTCCATTCGATTGTACACGTGGTTGGCAGCGACTTGTGTCAAGAACCCGCAAAGGTACTTGAGCAGGCTGTAGTGGCTATCTGGGAGCTCTTTCAGTAAGTCTCTTAAGCTAGTCTCCTGCACACCATTGCTGCGATCTGGAAGAAAAATATAACATAAACATGCTCTCAGGTATATTCCACAGACAACAATGAAAGCACACAGAGGGGGAAAAAAAAGGCAAATCTCTCCTTCAGAAAAACAAAATTCCTTAGAGAGTCAGCAAGGTCTTGAAACATTTCATTATTTTTTTTCAAGGAAGAATTACTGATTCAAGAAATCCCCAAATTTCCATGATTTTTATGCAGTACATAAAATAGGCTGGCATTTCGGTTTTTGTGTGTTCTTTCACCGAGTTAAAACAATAGTTAGGCTTTGATTTTGCAAAAAAATAACAAAAAAAACCCCACCAAATTTCTAGTTTGAATAAAACTCGAGACAAGAGACTTCCTGATTCCCAGAACAATCAAAGTACTGGACCCAGAGAAAAGTAAAGGAAATTTCTTTATAACTTTAGAATCTCAACGAAGATTCTCTCCTTGATCAAACTGAAGTAAGGAGGTCAGGTCTGGCCAGCGCCATATTGGTCCCATGGTGGATGGTAGGGTCTGCCATCTTGTCTTCATGCTGGGGGGAGGGAAACACCCATCACCTGCTTACTTCCAGCTTTGAAAAAGTAATGTGGGAAGACACCAGATCAACTAAAACAAATGTTCCAAATAGTTATGAATTTATGACACTGTCTTTGAAAAAGAACTTAAGACATTCACCGTGTATTTCTAGTCTTTTTATTTCCAAGAAATAAAACTAACAATTTTGGGGAAGAAGACAGGTAAGAACAAAATAACATGAAACCCTTTGCTTGACTAGAAGAATCACTAAGTGTGTTCTCCACAGACAAGTCACTGAGAGGTTGGGTGTGGTGGCTCACACCTGTAATCTCAGCATGCAGCAAGTAGGCTGCGGAGGGAGGAAGGTGAGTTAGAGGTCAGCCTGGACTACGTGGTGAGATCCTGTCTCCAAGAAACCAAACCCAAACAGCAATCTAGTAACTCAGAATTATCACACACCCGCCTTATTCTCCCCCAGATCATGTCCATTTGTTGTAACAGAAGATACATCGTGGGGTGAAGATGTGTGCCTGGTGACTCTGACATAAGTACATGTATGCCCAACTGTAAATATTTATAATGCACAACTCCTGGAATCTAGGTTTCCATGATTTGGCAGTTTATAGACTTTTATTATTACCACAGCCTTTCTCTTCCCCTCATTTAGTGCAGATTAATTATATGCTAACTTACTGTGACTCCAAAATGTGTACTGTTTCTAGCAAGATGTGATAAATATCAGCATCACTGTCAACCTGCAGGGCAAGATCTTGTAAGTGTGAGATTCCTCGTTGCTCAATACTGTATAGACTCGGCTTATAGAGGACTGAATGGGGGCATGGTGGTACCAATAACAAGATGACTTCTCTTGCTTGCAATCCTGGGTACCATTTGCTTTAGTTATAAAAAAATGTTTGTTTTATATATGGAAAACACAAGGAGGAGATTATTTCTTCCATCTTCCTGCAAGTACGGAGCGGCTACACTATACCAACTGCTCTTCTGCTACGTGAAATTCATCAGTAAGTGAAATAAACAGAAATCCCTATCCTCACAGTGTGTTTATTCTAGCCAAGGAGAGATGGAACAATAAATGTGGTACCAGGGTTGGTAGAACCCTGGGCTGGGTGAGGAGGGGTGACTGGAGTTAGAAATAAGACTTAGGAAGTGTGACGGAGAGGGTGTTTGATGTCTGTTGGTAAAGTTCAAGATAGCTTTCAGAGGTGGAAGTTGAGTTTCAATCATTTCTTAAATCCTCTCATACCTAGCTTACAAAAAGTGATGGATAAATCATTTTACAATGGAGAGAGGACATATGGGTGAACACAGTCATAATATTCAATGGACACATGTAAACTGGACCAGGTAACTTGATGGGTGGAATTGGGAGAGCTGGAGGGAAACAATGGAAGGAGTGACATGGATCAAGATGCATTGTTCTCATAAAATAGACCTGTTGAATGGAAACCCCTTTGCATAACTACTGAAAGGTAATTTTTAAAAATGAGTGGCTTTAGGCCTAGGAAGGTGGTTTAGTGGTAAAATGCTTGCCTTGCATACATGAGGCTCTGGGTTCGATTCCTCAGCACCACATAAGTAGAAAAAGCCAGAAGTGGTGCTATGTCAGAAGTGGTAGAGTACTAGCCTTGAGCTGAAGAGCTGAGGGACAGTGCCCAGGCCCAGAGTTCAGGCCCCACAACCACCACCACCACCACCACCAACAACAACAAAAAGAGTTGTTTTAATAGAGTGATACACAATTTTAAGGCACGGGAAGATGAACTAGCATAGACCAAGTGACACTGACATTTATCCCTCACATCTAATCTAAAGGAATGTGGAACAATTAGTTTATTTATAGAACTCACTCGGTTGGAATATTATGTGGGAAATAGATTACACTAAGTTTTTCAATAATAAGAAACAATTCATTTTAATAAGAAACAATTCATTTGAAGCTGGGCTTGTGGGTCCCATCTCTAGTCTTGGATATTCAGGAGACTGAGCCAGGAGAATCCTTTGAACTTGTGGAGTCCAAGGCCACTCTGAGCAATATAATATAGAAAGACTAGACTCAAAAAAAAAAAAAAGAAAAAGAGCTTACTTTGTGGTCAGATATCCATGGAATTCCTAAGAAGGGCCCCTCAACAGAGACATTAACATATTCTGATGTTACAAACTTGCCATTACCCTTAACATTAAACTGGAAGAAAAATCAGAATAGTATAATTCAGAAGTCTAAAGGCTTTGTAAAACATATTTTTCTTGTAAAGATACTGTACAGAGGGGTTACTGTTACATGAGTAAGGTAATGAGTACATTTTCTGTCAAGCATCCTTGGTTTTTCCCCTACGATCCCTTCCCTCCCCAAGTCCAAAAGTTTTAAGAGTACACTGAAAAACCTACAGAACTTGAACACCACACATTTGCTGAAAAATCTATACAGCACTGGAAGACCATAAACTCTTGTGCTCCAGGCTAAGTAGCAGATACTGAACCATGTCACAAGCATTTGCTCTCATTAAAGAGAGATTATGATCTTAATCAGCAATGCTGAGTTTATATCTGGGCGTGCATCACGAGACAGTACCCAGGTCTAACCTTGACCTTTGTCTAGTATTTCTCACGTGCCTTCACTTGTCCATGAAAACGAAATGGTACTTATAATCCTAGCTTTGGGAGAAATAAAGGAGCAAATACAGGGATACAGTCTCCACCATTACTCCTTGCAGCAAAGAGTTCAGCCACTGAAACAGAGTTTATCTCCACAGTACCGTATTTATCCAAGTAGTTTTCCCTTGCTTCATTCAGCCCTCCCACCCCCAACAAAAAAAGGGCTTATGAAAACCTGCTAATCTATTAGCTAGCATGCCTAACTACCACAGGCTTTGAGGCTGAGAGGTCAGATCTGAGCATGCAGACAGTCTCTAGAAGTCTAGAAGCAATGTCCCCACCCCTACGCACTACACAAACTACCTATAACCCAAATGGGTCAGGAATAGATTTGCACGCCAGAAAAAGCTCAGGCTGACTGTGAACTTGACTTTAACCTTGTGAGACCAGAAGTAGAGAAAGCAGCTGAGTCCACTCACTTCTTACCTGCAGGGCAGTAGCTAATACATTTACACTGTTTTAAGGCAGCAAGTTTGTGGTCCTCTATTGTGGCAGCAGCAGCAATCCAGCAGATGCCCAGTTGTAGACAAGTTGACTCTAACAGCAGCACCCAGCATCCATACTCGCCAGCCACACAGCAACTGGGCTGCCATTTGCTTTAAGCAGCCTGGGCCTAGACTCTGATCACATTTTCTGCAATCAGCTGCTATCATCATTGCTGCTACATGGTTCTCAACTTGGGGTCTCCCATATATAAGTATATAATAAATGTTTCCTGAATGAACAAATAAGCAATCCAAATTGTGGGGTGGTCGGGATGGGATTCTGAATTTGGTGATGATAAACTGCAGCTTTATAGGTTGATTGGGGGGAGCAGGAAGAAATGGCATCTTCATACAAGTCGACCAGTTTGTCTGGGCCCAGAATGTTTTTTAAGTGCCTAAGAACTGACAAAAGGTGAATGGTATTGCTCTGTAGAGATGCATGCGCAGTAGAATGAGCTGGGGTCAATCTGAGGCAGGTGCCCATGGGTGAGGCTGGGTTTTCCGTGTTTACCCACGGGGGGTGGGGGTGGGGGTGGACTCATTTCTCTGAAAGGCAGGGAAGCTGGTGGAGAAAACCCAAATGCAACTTAAGGTGAAGGAGACCCATGTTTCCCTACACAGAAGGGACATTCTTTTGCAACTCAATCTGTGACAAGGTTCACGGAGGCCTCACGTGGATCTCTCAAAGGGCAAGATGATAATAACAATTATTGCATTACCATCTACCCTTAAACACAAAGCGCCCATCTTAATCATGCTGATTCACTTCTGCATGTGCAAGGCTGTGTTTTTATTTGTCTAGTTTGTAGTGCTGAGGATCAAACCCATGGCCTCGTACATGGCAGGCTACTCTACCACTTCAACGTGGAGGTAATTTGCCGTCAAATCACCTGATACTTGTTTATTCCAGAAAGAACTTTCATGTCTGTAAGAACCAAGACCCCCAACAAGAATTGAAATATATCCAGGCCCTGATTCTCATACCTGCAATCATAATTCATTTTCTGGCTATTTGTCTTCTCTTTCAACCTAACTCAAATAGGCTATTCCCTCCTATAGAAGCTTTAGGGGAAAATAAGGAATTTATTAAAGACCTTACCCAATTGATAATAATTTATTCCTAAATCTCCAATGGACAGGAACTTATTGGTAGCTGGGTCTCCCTTTTTAATTTAATTTTACCCTCAAGTCCATACTCTTCCCACTATTACAAAGTTCTACACCTATACCCAGGGGATGGCTAAAATAAAAAAGACAGGCATTGGCAAGAATATGGAAAAATCAAAATCCTTCATTCAGCTGGGTACCATGACTCATGCCTGTAATCCT